AAATAAAATAAAATATTTTTTTAACAAACACCAACCTTTTCATTTACTTTTATACAAAGTGATTCAAGGTCTACAGCCTTAGAATCTTTTATACACTTCTCCAATATCCTATTTATTTGAACAGACATATCTGTTTGTCTTCCAGGTTCAAAATGTGCTGCAGCCATTGGATTTAACTCTACATTGATATTAATTATTCCCTCACTTGGTCTGGCAGAATTTGGCTGCTGAATTTCACTAGATACTTGTGCTAATGCACTAAAAATACAACTATCATTCAATAAAAGTAAAAAAAATATTATAAACTAACCATGTTTGTCCTAACGCTACATAACAACAGCCCCAGTCTTTCCCAAACTGAATTTTTATATTTCGAAACTCATCAAAAGCTCGTCCGTCTAATCTCTAAAAGTAAGTGTATCATTAAAATGCACCTTCACTGTTAAGATTACTTACTGTGTAGTTTGAAAGAGCTTTTAATAAAAAATTCTTTTCACAAGTAGCTACAGGCGATTCTCTAACTTTGGCCATGTCGTGTATTTCCCGAAATCATTGTTTTATAACTGGTTATTACATAATTAAGTTCTTACGTGTATTTCAAACTACACTTTTATCTTATTACCCCAGAAATACCAATTATATTAAAAATTAAAACATGATAAAAACGTATATTAAAAGTTCATTTATTAAGGTTAGTGTCTATATCAGATAAGATGTCTATCTATGATGCCTATAAACACCACAGATGGAAGATAAATATACAAATCCATAGAATAACAGTAATGGTAAGATTCTTATTTAAGGCCTGTGCTATGGTCAAGATCATAAATAATACTATGCTATATTAATATTCTAATAATGTGGTAATAAATAATAACAAAACTACATAAAAGCTATACTAACAATAAATTATTATGAATTTTGTAATTTTACATTATCATTATTAAATTACAAAAATTAATAAAATAATTGAGATGATAAGGTGTAAGTGATCATAATTGATCCCGTTGTTTTGTTGGCGATTTATTCCTTATATGCTGGTTCCTTTACATTTGTCTATGCTTTACACCATCAACCATTACCCTTTGTATATCTATTATCTATGGCCTTCGACCATCAATTACTTACCATAGAAGGAGGGAATTCACATAGTCAAGTATGTAGAAATTACTTTTTTTTATAATTTTCTGAAACATCTTCAGATATTTTTCATACAATTATTGTTATTCCAGTTAAACTTTCTTATTTGAGTTTTTCTGTTTAGTTATTTTAAAGAATCGTATGATTACATTTAGAAAAACACACCTAACCTTAATTCCCAGTTTTTGCTTCTATTAATTTTATTACCATATTTCTTTTCAGGATGTTGATGCCAAAAAAGAATAGGGTAGCAATTTACGAACATTTATTCAAAGAAGGTGTTATGGTAGCAAAGAAAGATTATCATGCACCAAAACATCCTGAATTAGAAACTATTCCAAACCTCCAAGTTATCAAAGCAATGCAGTCTTTGAAATCCAGAGGATTTGTTAAAGAACAGTTTGCGTGGAGGCATTTCTATTGGTGAGTAATATTCTGGAACTTTTAAATTATTATAGTTTTAAAGTGTATTAAAAGATGTACTTGTTACATTTGAGGTTAACTGTATTATAAATGTTAATCAGGTATCTTACAAATGAAGGCATTGAATATTTACGAACATTCTTGCACTTACCGCCCGAAATTGTTCCTGCAACTCTTAAGAGACAAGCACGTTCAGAAGCTGCCCGACCCAGAGGAGCTGCAATGCCTCGCTCTGAAGTATCTAAACCTTCTGAAGACAGAGCTGGGTATAGAAGGACAGGAGGAGTAGGTGGACCAGATAAGAAGGCTGATGTTGGAGCTGGTACTGCAGAAATGGAGTTTGTAAGTTATAAAAAAGTAAGATATCACTTATTGTTTGTATTAATGCATTTCTTCTTCCAGAGAGGAGGATTTGGACGAGGTAGAAGTGCTCCTCAATAAATGTTGTAAGTTAATTATAAAAACAATAAATAAAAACCTAATTTTGTATTTCATTGAATTCGTTGTAACTAATAACTAAAGAGGAAATTCTTGTTCTACAAACAACGGTATTTAGAATGGCATGGTCCATTTCGTCTATTAATATGTAAAAAGTGGTGATAAATGATAATTGAAAAACTCAATTGCGTCTGACATCATTAACAATCACCATCATCAATAAATTAATTTTAAAAAATAAAATTCTGTCTTATGGTGATAAGTAACTTTTATAAGTCAGTAGGTAAACCCAAATTTATACTGCAATAATACTTCATCAATGTCATCGTCATCATAAGGTAGTCAGTCCTAAGAGTGGTAGAACACACACCTCCACTTCTTCTATTCTGAGCAAATCTTTACATTTTCCTGAAACTAGAACATCCTATATCCTTAACTATTTGAACAGTAATCAAATTTACCCCTACTTTTAACTCCTGTTTCTGCATCTAATATGTCTTTAACTAGCCTTTCATGCTTGAGAAGATGTCTTATCTCGCCTATTTCTCGTCAATGTGCAATGATAAAAGTATTCTAAGCTTTCTTTGAAATTGTCAATTGAATTTTGTCCGTCGGTTTCTTGTTTTGCTAAATCAAAATAATTATGTAAAAAGACGTCGAAAATATTGTGAATTCATATTCTGATAAAGTTGTCGTTCATTACAGTAATCAGATAGTCAGAAAAGTTTCGTCGATATATATTTCGTTTCTTTTAACACCTGTTTTAAATAACATTGTGATGATAGCGTGAGTTTAAAGTCATTATAGCGTACAATTTTTGTTTAAAGTTCTTAGTAAATGTTGTCATTGGAGACAAATTATGAACTTGTTTAAAATTTCATGCAAAAGTCCACAGCTCAAATAAAATATGTATTAATAGTCAGTAATAACACAGAATTAATATTAAGAACACAAATCTTAAATAGAAATTTTAAGCACAATAAATAAATATGTAGATCTACTGCATTTTTGAGACTTCAAAATGTGTATTTACAAGCTCTTCGTCGGAATCGAGAATAGGCAATGGCATTTCGTTTTTAACATTTTCTTCCAACCATTTTATTTCATCTTCTACTGAAGTATTTTTCGGTGACGATGGTTTCTGTTGTTGATGCATTCTTACTTTTACCCCATAAGCATCATTTACTAAATGTTCCTCTTCTTCATCATCGCCTGTTTCCAAAAGAGGGACAAATGCATACCTTTGGTTGTTATTGGTTGGCCTCCACAGTATCATAATAACCAGTAATACAGCAGAGAATAATATATGCCAGTAGGCATCTTCTAACCATAAATCCTTCCAAATAGTTAAACAACTGGGAAAGTGGTGCGTTTTTATAGAATATAACATAAATATAATGGACGATACAACGGAGAATATTAAGGTGTTTGTGAAGTGTCGGTAGAGAGATAACTTAACTTCATTTCTGCGTAAACGAAGCGTGCGGGTTGTATTAACAAGAGCGTTGAATATCCACCAACAGATAGCAGAATCTAATACAGCCAAAGGGACCGAAGCTACCAACAGGTCTCTATTGTGATCATTTTTTGGCGTCATTATGCGCAAATATGATTCAGTTGCTGCTAAACAAAGGTACAGTGCACCCACTGCGATGACTCGATGAAGAGCTGTTCCTAAACGTGGTTTGACTATTCCAAAACCAAGACTAACTATTACAACCAACATACGAGCTAGTGTTCGCTTGGCACAGGAAACCCATTCTGCTAAAAGCATAACATTCTGAACACGCAATCCTGTATTATTTATGTTATGAAATTCTGCATAAAACAGTGCTTTTTCTAACATTCCTAGGAGAATAACACCTCCAATCCAAAACTGTACTCTAAGGAGATCTCTCCATTGTAAGGCAGAAATAACAAGCCAACCTATACCATACAAAACATAAACTACACACATAATTCCATAAAATGGTAAAAGTGGCCAATCTGCTGCTGATAAATAGCCATAGTCACTTTTTATTTCAATATGAACTCCCAAAGTAAATTCCAAATTAAACTTTGGATCGGTAGATACTCGAAGTATTAAAATGTACACTCCATCTCTTGGAGCTATATAGTTGGCATGTGATTTGGAAGATCCAGCTGGTGCAGGTAACGGATCTAAGATTATATGATCATCACAAATGTATTTTCTATGAAGGGAACGGTAAGAATTTGTTTCATTTATGGAGCCGTTGGCTATTAAGTTCTGAAATTATACTTTCGATTAAGTTCTCTGTTTTTTCTGACTTCCTTTTAGATCTGGCTTATGCTACCCAATATGAAAGTAACCAAAAAGGTTTTCATTTTTATTTTGAGGGTTGCCCATTTGTTAAATGCTAGTTTATGGTTGGGAAGGTTGCATTGTTTTAAAATGTAACTAACCTTAGAGCTCATTATTCTGAGCCAATAAATAAAAAACTCAGATATATAAATACAACCTTCAAATGATCAACTAATTAAGTTTCAAATCAGGGCAACATTCCCAAACATATCTTAATTTTCATAACACATAACATTTTCATTTCACACAACTACAAAAAACCTTTTTAAGGCACTTTTATTTAGGGTAATATAAAAGATTGGCCCAAATTACTTTAGTTACTTACATTGAACTCTTCAAAAACATGGTGTGGGATTTGCCAACAACGTGACTGGACAACTTCCCAACTAATTTCAATGTTACTTCTTCTAGAATTCACACTTTCACAGTTTACTAAAACAAAATCAGGTATTGTGACATTATGCATATGCTGTGTGTAATGCTAAAATTACAAACTGCTCACGTTTTATGTATATTTGTGATCCTTGATACAAGCTCTTCGAAAGATAAAATCTATCATCTTGCTGAAATATACCAAGAGTAAAATACTAATTAGATTTTGATCTAATAAATATTTTTAACCTAACCTACCATCGTCAAATTGAAATCCCATACCCCTTCATCAGGCAAACAGTTAATCAAAGAAACAACACAAGCTAAAAAAATTAATGCAACAGAGTAGAATAACATTTTATTATAGTGAAACTAAATATGCAGGAATATCATCTTTAACTACTATCAACGTATCACCATTAATTTCCGAATTTGACGCTTTAACATAGTCATAGAATGCCCTTAAACTCTGGCATTAACCTTATCTATAACCAGCTATAACCATTCTGTCATTAACCATAGGTAAGAATTATAGAGTGACTAAGTATATATCTCTAATCTATGACAATAATGTGTATCATAGACATCTGACATAGTGTCCATAAAAACCTGTTCATAATTCCTTTATATTCTAATCAAGAAGCTAATAATTCAATAAAAATTGAATAGGAAATGGATGNCGCCTATGTATAAGTGCAATGTCACACTTTCCTTCAAGGCTGAAGAAACCATTGCAAAGGTAAAATACTAGTTAACTGAAATTACGCAATTCTAAAAATAAGTTGTTTTTTCAGACTCCGGAAAAAGCACCAGTGGGAAATAAAAGGCACGTTCCGATTACCTTCGAAAGCAATGGAGCCAGTTCCGCTAATAAAAATACGAAAAAATCCTCAGATGGTATGAAATTATACACCCCACCAAGTGGAAAATTCAGTAATAATTTCCAAAGTTATGGTAAATAGTTTTTATATTACATTTTTCTAATTGTAAGTAGAAAATGGAGACTTGTAAAAGAATAAACTAAAAGACTAAACCACTAAATTTTTTCAATATAAGGAAAAAGTTTAATAACTAATGAATCTCCGTTTTATTTTTTTTTGTATTTTTCTAATTAGTACTGTTTAAAGGTGGCAGAGGGAGACCCAGGGGATCTAGAGGAAGTCGAGGACGAGGTTCAGGAAGGGGATGGCGTTAGAATCAATGTTATTTAATTTTGTTTGACACCACTACAATATTTTCCTTTAATGTAGTTAACTATTTCTTTTCATAAAGTCGAAAATCACATTTTATTTTTTGTATCTCTTTTTTTAACATTTATTGTATATGGATAATAAGGTAGTTGTTCATAGTTGTGTCAGTATAAATAAAAAGGATATGTCCATCCAAATTAACTCCTGAAAGAATGTTGTGTGCAGGAAATAAATGTAGAATTTCAATAAAAGTTTTCTTACTTGCAAATGTTTTATTAATGAAATAGTTTTAATAATACTTTGTAATTATTAGTAATTCATTTTTTTTCTTATTGTTAACACTGAATTGTAACTCCTCATAAAAAGTTTATTACGTCTCTTCTAATGTCAGATATTGACAAGAAGTATCAGACTCAGCATGCAATTGATATAATCTAATATTTCTTATTTTAAGTTATTGGATACTGTCCACTATAGAACACATTATTCTGTCTTTAATATAACATGGATCACTTCTTTCTTCATCTTTTATTGCATTTTCTTTACTAAATAGTAAATCGGTTTCTATCATTGCCTTAGAGTCAACTTCCATAGATTCTGGTAAACTTTGTAAAGCTTGCTGTAAAATTTCTTGTACTTTATCTAAATGTTTTTGGAATCGATGTGTAGTTTCTATCCTCTGACGTTTTTGAAGTTCCATCATTACACGCAAAGTTTCTCTGGCTTGATGAGGTCTAAATTCATTCAACAAGTGATGAATATGAATAAAAAGCAAACTAAGGTCTTCTACTTTTTCAGCTCTTCTTGGAGAATCTGGACATTTCACCAATAAGTCTAAGAGATCAAGGAAATTTGCCAACAAAGAATGATTCAATTTCTTAAGCTCACGACGTCTATCAAAATGAAGAGGATAGAGACGTTTTATGCCCTATAATATAACAAGGTCAGTTTTGAAATATCCTTTGAGTAAAATACTTACCTGACTTTCTAACGGTCTAATAATACTCTCTTCTGTATTAAACGTATTTCCAAACATTTGATATTGATCATGAATTGGAGGTGGTGGTCTAGGTGCTCGACCCCTTTTTACAATTTCATCGGTATACTGATTAATATATTGCATTGGTGGTAACGGCAACGAACTCACTTGCACGGGTTCTGAAGAAGCCATTTTTAATCAATCTTAATTTTTTCTCTTCTTTTCAAAAACAAATTTATTAAAGAAGCAAGAAATAAAAGGTTAGGGATAACCATTGATAAACTAAAACTAAGCTCAATCTATTATCTATGGCTCAATTCTGAATTTTCGTGCCATCTCTTTGTAAAAATATTAACTAAAAGAGTAAAGGCGGGAGGTTTAAATAGATTTGAAATTTTGAACTTTATATATTTAAAACGAGACGAAGTTTGAATAAAAAAAAAAGGTATTTAATCACTCTTTTGGACTTACTATCATGACTATTGGTTTAAGTTGTAGTATCTACGGATAGTGGTAGTGGCTCATTTAGGCCATCTAAAAAAATTTATAAATTATAAATGATTTATATAAAGAAACCAGTTATAGTTTTTTATTATTTTTATTATTAAATGAACTCTGCATAATTTAAGCTATAAATTCATAAGGAATTGGAGCCAACCAAATAGGTTCCTCTTTTCCACTGACTATATGTGCTGGTTTTGGTTGAGCAGGTTGTCTCTTAAGAGAAACCCTTATTTTCTTTTCTTTAGCTTCCTTGCGGAGTTTTTCGTTTTGCTTGACACGTTGTAAAAAGTCTTCTCGACACTTAGAGTGGTTAATATGTTCAATGCGAATATTGATCCTCTTTGGAATAATCCTTCCTCTTACCCGCTTGTTTACTATAACTCCCAATGCATGTGCAGTTACGTTGAAAACTCTTCCAGTTTTACCATGGTAAACTTTGTGTGGCATTCCCTTTTGTACTGCACCATTCCCTTTGATATCAACAATATCTCCCACTTTGTATATTTTCATATAAGTGGATAACGGAATTGTGCCATGCGTTCTGAATTTGCGGGCAAACAAATCCCTCGTACCACGACGATAACCTTTTGAATTCGTCATTTTGTTAAACTAAAAATATAAGAAATAGATAATGTAGAAGTTTTTCAAGTTTAATTTTTAGGTTAAACTATGGATGATAAGAAAAACATGGTAAAAAATATAAAATATTTAACGAAACACATATCTAATTCATTTTGTACGGATTAAGCATATGTTACATTAAGTTAAAAGTGAAATTTCAATAAAAATAACTTACTTTCCCAACACTCTACACGTGCAAAGCAAAAGAAATTCTATGGAATCGGAATACTAAAAAGGCGAACATCATTCATTGATATCTATCAAAATTAACATCGTTACTGTTAATGCCAACATAGTCTCTAAAAATATAACTGGTATATACAGGGTGTGAATAAAAACACCTGAATTCATCAAACCAATTTAATATTAATTAAAATATTCTCCAATTTTACATTAAAATAATAATAAATGAAAATCTTAATAGCAGTTTTAGAATAGTCCAACAATAAATTTTATGACATAAAGTAAAGGTTTAATAACGGTGTTATTGCGGCGTTTCAGTAAAACTTATATTTTTTATAAAAAAACAAAAATTAATAA